TTCTGCTTTCTACTCGTAGCTGGTAGTGGTTCTGATCTGCAGACCAACTGATGGTGCCATCAGGGGAAAGTGTCAGGATGGTGTCTGGTGTTTTAGCCTCACGTTGCACGCTCCAAGTCACTGTTACCGGCATGTGTGGCCCTCTGACCCGGCACATCAACTCCAATTTTTCTCCAACAGTCACCCGAGTCTTGCGACTGATTAGAGACACTCCCATCAGCGTGTCTGACACAAAAATCCAAAATAGTCAGCGACAGCAAGTAAGAAAGGAGAAGCTGGTGATCAAGCAATCATTAGTGTTGAAAGCACAATAAAAAAAAATCATGCATCATTTCATCTTTTAAAAAAGAAAAGGTTAGCTTGTTTATAAAAATGAATACACAAAAATGACTTTCATCCAATATGTGTCATGACATCTATGTCTCAAGCTTATAAATGTATGCATTTGCCAGTTTTAGCCATGTATTTATGCAGCTACGTGTCATTTTTAAAAACTGTAAGCGAAACCTAAACCACATTTGCCCTAAAACAAAATATTCAGTCAAACACAAACATTCTAAGGATAGCTTTTTTTTCCCTGAAAGCCTGGCTTGGCAAAAAACAAACAAACATTTGTGCTTGTGGTTTGTTAATGTGTAACCTACCTGCTGAGTGTTAATGTCTCCTGTCATATAGTTATGAAAATGCAAAGAAATTTAAATAATTCCTTTTACCATCCTGCCTATTAGTCTGATATTCAGCATTGTTTGCCTATTATAACCACTACCCTCCTTTTCACATATGCTGCTCACCGTTGCCTCTTTAACTTATATGTCCAAAGAAACAGCTAATCCTGAGCTGCCCCTGTGATATACTCATTTGTAATTCTGTCCATCATCAAGATGCAATGAAAACCTTAGCATCATCAAACCTTTTCTGTTTTGACAGAGCCAACAAATCATACTTCATAGAAAGTTAAACCTTCCCAAAGTGGTTTTAGAAAAGCTCAACAAATCACACCACTCAATAAGAACAAACACCTGTTACAATGAAGGTAATATCATATGTCTTGAATAGTTTGCACTACACAAACACACAGACACATCTTACCTATAGAAATCACTGTCACAGTGG